GGCCCTTTTCAGAGAATCTTGAAACCTCAAGTTCTGGTGGAGTTTCCTGAAATTTCAATGTGGACTCAATGTATGGAGGCAAACTGAATATAGCTAATAGCCACATTCAGTCCATAGTCTTTTGCTTATATCTTTGCTGTGCATGTGCTTCCAAAATGGTTGTGTACAAAGCAAATGTTTGCATGTAAAATCCTTCCTTTAACATCATGTTTTACCAAAAAGTGAGGTCCAGGGGCTGGGGATTTATCTCAGTGGCACTGTGCATGCCCGGCAAGTGCAAGGTCCTCAGTTCAATTCCTGGTACCAAAAAAAAAGTGAGGTCCCACAATGTAATAAAAGATTCATTATACCTATTTTAATAATTTTTCTAACACTTTAACTTATCCTCCGTTTGTACACAATTCTCCCCGACTGTTAATTAAATAGTTTCATAGGAGTGCTCAAATTAAATTATCAAAAGAATTCCCAGCTGGGCCCAGTGGTGCATCCCGGTAGGTAATTTCATCACTCTGTGGGGGCAGGCAACAGAATCCAAGTTTGTGTACAGTCAAGGCAACTTAGTGAGACCCACTCTCAAATTTTAAAAAGGGGCGAGGAGTGCTGAATACTGGGAATGTAGCTCAGTGGGAAGACCCTAGGTTCAATCCTCAGTACCACACACACAAATAAATTTTTTAAAAAACCATTCTCATCTACTTTCTTACTAACTTCATTGATTTCTGCCAGGGCTCATTGAACTTACCACACTGAGACAGTCTACCACATGCCTTCAACGAAAAACAGGCTCATGGTTGCTACTATTCAGTTGAGAAAATCCTGCAAATCATCAACATTTGTTGACCTCACGCCCTGAATGATAATAGAGAGATGTAAAACTCTTAAAGATTCAGCCTCAGCTTAACCATAAGTGAATTTCTGCAGAGCTTCTCAATGGCAGTGACTGACTGCAGGTTAGCGGGAGAGTGGTGGTATTTTGCATGGCAACAGTACCAATGATACTCCTTTTAACTTCCCATTGACAGAGGTAGAGAAAGACAAATGAAAGTTGTGTAATGTGTTGGAATGGAGAGATTGGAAGAAAAGTTGTATTTCATCAAACTCTTCCAGATTTCTTAAGTTTCTGAGATTTAGGAATTCATCAATATACTTATCTATTAAATGGTTCTGAGCTATATCAGAATCTTGAGGAAATATTTTAAAATATCCATGTCCAGGCCTTAACAGATTTACTGAATCAAAATCTCAGGGGTGAGTCTCAACGTGTACATTTTCAAAACTTTCCCCAGACCATTGAGAAACACAGGTCTAGATGAGAACTAGAGAACCTAGAAGGTCACTTCAGTCTCGTCTCTCATCCACACAGCCAGTTCTTTACACCATTTGGGGATTTGGTCAAAAGGAGGGAAAGTAAGAGATAGTTTAAAAAGGGAAAGTAAGAGATAGCTCCATTTAATCCTCTTGGTTAGGGCAGAACAGGGACTAGTAAATTCAAAATGCAACTGACTTCATTATATAAGCCCCTCACTTCCCAGCTCCCAGCAAGACTTCAAAGGTTTGAAAGCAGAATTTAGACTCTTATATCGGTTGCTGTTTCTGCCTGAAAAGGACAGAAAGTCTGCTAATTATCTGTTCATCCCCCCTTGTTTTCCACCTAGTCACCATCCAGCCAATGCCAATCTGGCTTCCTCAGAGTGCTCCTAAAATTGCAGGTGTGCAACTACACATTTCTTTCCTAAGAATCTTTTTTGGTACTGGGGATCGAACTCAGGATGTTGTGCTTGCCGGCAGCATCACTGAGCTAAATCCTTGGCCCTCCTAAGGCTTTTTATTCCCAAGCCAGGTACAGTGGCACATGCCTGGATCCCTGCACTGTGGGAAGCTGAGGCAGGAAGACTGCAAGTTCAAGCCCAGCCTGGGCAACTAAGTGAGGCCCTGTCTCAAAATAAAAAAATAACATAAAAGAGCTGGAGATGAAAGCCCAGT